GAGAGCTCTTTAAAGTAGAGACACTACATACTGATATACACCTGAACATCAGCAGGAGAGGACTCTTTAAAGTAGAGACACTACATACTGATATACACCTGAACATCAGCAGGAGAGGACTCTTTAAAGTAGGGGAATCAGGGGTTAACATTGAACTGGTTGGATTTAGAAAGTGTCTGAGTCTCTCTCAGTTTTATCTCTGAATGAACAGAGAGGCGTTTCGTCTCTGCAGGATTCCACGATGGTCTCCGGGGGCGTCATTGTTTTTCCTCCCTATGTTGTGAACATTATAATTATCTGTTGTTTCCCAGAGGAAGCTTGGTGAGTTGTTTTCCTCTGGGATCTGTAACCATGCGTCACAAATCATAAACGCATCACATGAACTCAAATCATCTGGGCACTAATTACCCTAAAGTATAAATAAAGAAAGATGGGGTAATCTCCCACTATATGATATTATTGGTTCTAGAGTAATCCTGTTTATTAGACGGTGTGCAGATACTTCCCTGCTTCCTTTGACGTGAACAAAAAGACTCGGATGTTGTTCTGAACCTCTGTAAATTGTTTTATGTGTTGGTGTCCGGAGGCGTTACTGAGTGTGAAATATGTTTTCTGTTTTTCACACATCACATTCCTTGAAAAGGTTTATGATGTGGTTTCGAGCAGACACTATAAAAACTGAATGTCTAAACTGAAGCAGACTCAGGGAGGACGAGGAGAGGAGGGAGAACTGGTTTATTATAGTGATATTATTAATGATAAAGTGATGGGAAACATGGAGTTCCTGCTGGAGCTGATGGTGCTTCTGGTTCTGATGACCACAGCTGCTTCTGGACTGAGAGCAGACGACTTCACTGGAGCCGTGGTGAGAGCACTCTGGAACGAGAGGCGGACATTTGAATTTAATGAGACTCAAAAAACACAGGTTTCGGTTCAATATTTATTGGAAGCAAAGCTTAGCTGGCAGCTATTCTCTCAAATTCAAATAGCTTTATTACAAAATGAACTTTGATTGCTAAACAATTAGATATTCTTGATTATTATTATTATGTTTTAGATGTTGGGGTAGTGGGATGTGGTAATACACATTATTACTAATCCTGTTTTTGTTTTTTAAGTAACTTCTTTAAGGATAATTATTCAACAAATAAAGATTTACTTAAATGACAATGTTTAATGCCAGACTTGAAGTATTTTCTATTCAACCAAATGCTTTTCCACCACTTTAATTCTCATAGTTGTGTTTCTTCAGGTGTATTTAAAGAAGTACGGCTACCTGAACGCCCTGCTGCCCAGCCCTCCGCCTCGGGACATGAAGGCCGCCCTGAGGTGATTTGAACTCTCTTAATGGTAGTTTGCATGTTTGATTGTTTAAACGAAACGTCTGTGTGTGTCAGAGTGTTTCAGAAAGCCACTCAGCTGCAGGTCTCAGGCAGAGTGGACGCAGCGACGATGAGGATGATGAGGAAACCTCGCTGTGGAGAGGAAGATTCCTTCAGGTTCCACAGATACAGAGTCCTGGGTAACAACTCATCTCACTATCGAGTTAAAGCAGAATTACACTTTTAATCAACGGTGGAGAGTAACATTTTGACTTTGTGGGATACCTGAGTGTATTCATGTCATGATACTTCATTGTACTCCGCAAAGACACAGTAACTGACCACAAAGACACACAGAATGACCACAAAGACACAGAATGACCACAAAGAAACACAAGATTACCAGAAATAGACACAAAGAAACACAAAATGACCAACGTTAGATCATTCAAATCATTTTGTTGCATAAATATCTTAAAATGCTGCTTTCAGACTCAAATCTGCTGCTTTCCACTGTTTCATATAACATTTGAGTACATTTGGGTTTTGTTATTAAATAACCATCATGTCTGTGAGACAGTTTGAATGGACTTTGTATCAAACATTATCTACATGTTTTAAAGTAATGTTTAAATATAACATTAGCACAAATCTCATGGTAACTTTTGAAGGAGTTTTGGAGAAATCTGCCGACACAAATAGAGAAAGTTAGGAAAATAAGCACTACATTTTCATTTTGGGACATTTTGCACGTAGTATAAAGGATAAAGTATAAAGTTGGTAGGATACTTGAGTAAATGTACTTCATTACATTCCAGCACTGATGGTACTTTGATGCTTATACCTTTGTACTTTGAATGGCATACTTGAACTTCTAACAGAGTATTTCTTTACTACTTATAGTGAAATATCTAAGTACTACATCCGTGTAAACATGTGTCAAACGTCCCTGTTAGAAACTCTCCCTCGTCCCCGGCTTGATCTTGAACCTCAGGATCCATGTATCTGTGATCCTCTCCAGAATGGAAGTAGTCATCACATACAGAGCATCAACTAGTTCCTGAACAGTGTCCTTCACATGCTGATATCCAAGAGAGGGAGTTCCACAGTCACAAGATGGAGGAATAGAAAGCAGTATTCAATGTTTACTTCAGATTAGCTCCACGTCAGAAATGATCATGCTTGTCATATGTCTCTCTCCATAGAGGCTGAATCATCATGTTAATCACATAGCTATCATATGCCTCAAACAGTCCTGATGCTCTTCTAGGTAATCACACATCCTGTCATGTTCACAGCTACAGTTGGGATACCTTTGATATCATGTTACTCTCATGTTGGAGGAGGACATTCAGTGTCTTCCCCTTGTTGTCTCCTGGTTGCAGGACACTGGCGTAAGAAGATGCTGACGTACCGGATCTTAAACTTCACCCCGGACCTCGGGCAGGGGAAGACTCGGCAGGCGATCAGCGCTGCGTTCAGGTACTGGAGCGACGTCTCCCCGCTGAAGTTCAGAGAGACGCAGACAGGAAGAGCTGACATCAAGATCTCCTTCCACCGGAAAGACAAGAGCTGCCCCGTGCCCTTCGACGGGAGAGGTACTACACACGGTCTTTAAGTCAACTGTGGCGTTTAAAACGTGGACCCTGTCTGTTCGTGTTGTGGTGGGACTTATGAGGACTTGAAATGTGTCCCATTGAGTGAGAGTGTCCACAGAATTACCACAAATAGACAATGAGAAAAAGAATACTCAAAATGACCACGAAGAGACACAGATTAACTACGAAGAGAAACGAAATGACTACAAAGAGACAGATATTACAAGACCCACAAAATGACAGAAAATATAAAAATGACTTAAAAGAGGCTCAAAATGGATGAAGAGAATGAAATGTCAAAAAAGACACAAAGTGACTTCAAAGCGAAACCAATAAACTACAAGAGAGACCAAATACATGTATTCCAAATGGCTGCAAAGCAAAATGACAAAAGAGACACAAAAAAAGATACGAAAATTCAATGATTTCAAAGAGACACAACACAAATACTAAAAGACATAAATGCCTTCAGAGAAATAAACAAACTACAAACGCGAACAAACATGTCTAACAGGCTCCAGGTTGTAAAATATCAAAGTAATCTTTAAAATATTTCCCCTCCCTGATGCGTTGTGTTGTTTCCACGACTTCTTTCGACCCGTTTTGTTTCCAGGTCAAGTCCTGGCCCACGCCGACGCCCCCGAGTCGGGCAAGGTTCACTTCGACAGCGACGAGGTTTGGACGGAGGGCAAGAGCTCGGGGTCCAACCTGAGGATCGTGGCCGCCCATGAGGTCGGCCACGCTCTGGGTCTGGGTCACTCGCAGCACTACAGCGCTGTGATGGGCCCGGTCTACAGCGGGTACCGGGCCCACTTCAAACTGCACCCCGACGACATCCAGGGCATCCAGGCTCTGTACGGTAATATCCAAAATAAGAAGTGTTTTTCATAATTTCTTTTGCAGAGTTTTTTTTATACAGATTTCATTTTTAAACATAAATAATATCCACATTTCTTATTTTTTCACTTAATTTTTTCAATGAACTTACATTACATCACACCTCCACTGACTTCTCTCTACTGGCTTCCCTCCACTGGCTTCCTGTCCATTTTAGAGTTCATTTTAAGATTATATTGTTTTTAAATCTCTAAATGGGCTGGCCCCTCAGTACATCTCCGACCTCCTACAGGTGTACACCCCCTCAAGGGCTTTGAGGTTGGCTGATCAGCTGCGGCTGGTAGTCCCTAAAACAAAGAGAAAGACCAGGGGAGACCGAGCCTTCTCAGCGGTAGCCCCCAGGCTCTGGAACGACCTGCCCCCCCCCCTTATGTCAAATTGTCGCCCACTCTTCAAGCTTTTAAGTCCCGCCTAAAGACCCACCTCTTTTCCCTCGCTTTCGAGTCAGTCTGAGCCAGGACCGTCCCTCCCTACTGGCTGATCATGCAGACTGCATGGGGCCTCATGTTGGCCAGGGACGGCCCTGCTCTGAGCTATGCACTACTTATTTTATGCTTTTATTGTCTGTCCATAGCCTTTATGTGCCTTGTATCTATTCTTATGTGTGCCTTTTATCTATTGTTGTTATATTATATTTTATTATAATGTTATGTTTGTTGTGAAGCACTTTGGCAAACCCTCTGTTTTTAAAATGTGCTATAGAAATAAAGTGGATTGGATTGGATGACTCGTTTTTCAACATAATATAACTTTTTATATATTTTTGACCTACCCTTTATTTTTTATGACATTTCTGACATTATATATACTTGAACTTGTTTTTATACATTTTAACATACTGTATTATGACTTTTATGAACTTTTCAACATACTATACAATGACTTTTGATACATTTTGACAAACTATTTTATATATAATTTTCTGACACTGACTTTTTTTATCGCTATAGGCAAGGCAAGGCAAGTTTATTTATATAGCACCTTTCAACACAAGGCAATTCAAAGTGCTTTACAAAAATAAAAGACATTAGA